CTCATATAAGCTAAAACCACATTCCGTTAGCTCCTGTTAGCAGCTAGCGGAGCAATATCAAGAGGTGCGTGTGTTTGGATGTCAGATGGGAGGTGTGCATGGAGATCAACGGTCTTCAATAATCCCAATCCCAATCCAGCTCCTATCTACACCCCTTCCATTTGCCCATTAACATGGAGGTTTTGCCGTATTTAGGTCCTTCCCCAACAAATCAGCACAGAGTGTAAGTGAACTGTGAAACCGCTTAAATAGCGTGTGCGCATCAGTTTACACATGCAACAGGAGAACGGAGGAAAAAACATACAAATGATCAAGCACATGCACCTTGTGCGGTGTGTGGTCTTAAAAGAAGAGATAAAAACTAGGACAATATCACTTTGTCCCTTTGTTCGCTTGACTTGTACCAAACCCACAAATGCCTGTACGCCAGACTGTGGAACAGCATAGCAGCCGTGCACGCAGGGCCTCTCTCCGTTGCCATGGTCCTTGTACCAGTAAAATGGCAAGGGCATCCCATAATTTGGCTTCGCATGTATACCCACCTCCTTCATTTGAAGTGCCCTCCACAGCGTCGAGTGTGACTTGTTTTGGAGTGACACTTGTTGGTGAAGTGGAGGTGGGTAGGGGCTGGTTTTAGATTGTGCCCATATCTAACTACAGCTCTGTATTGCATCGTGTTCACGTGGCCATCCCCTCATTTAAGCAACCAACATATTCTGAAGAAGAGCCTCTGGAACAGGTGGTTTTTGTGACCTTGGAGTGTCAGTGCTCTGTGGAGTAGGTTTGGTGGACTTAAACATGATGAGATCAGAGTGTCCTGCTTTCCACCTTGATAGTACAGAAAAATTAAATATTTATGATGGTGGACGGTGTGTTTTCTGTTGAAGATTTCCTGCAACATGGAGCTGCCCCTGGCCATAATGCGCTACAGCTGAGAACATTTCTTATCGGTCCAACCTGAACAAACAGTTTTTTTTTCTGTTTTACAAGCATACAAATTAAAAGTATGAGGACCATAAGCAAGACTGTTTGTTTGTTCTAATACATGACATAATTTCAGATAAAAGCGTGGCACTGTTACATCACATGGATGTTAATTAATTTGACAGATAGATAGAGTAAAGTCCTGTTTCCCTTTTCAGAATTATCACTAAACAAATGGACAAAAATTTTAAGTGATATTCATGCAGAATCACACGAGAGGGAGTGATGTACTGAATATCAGCATGGCTGTGATTCAGTCATGGGTACAAGGCCGTAGGCCGATTACCGAAGGCAATCACAGCCGTGCTGATATTCAGTACAACATCATTCCCTCTCGTGTGATATTGATTTTATAAAACAGTTCTACAAGCGCCATATTAGTTAAATAAGCAACAACAGACTATGATTTGTTTGTTTATTTGATCATTTATTTGACAACACCAGCACAAATGGTTCCGCAACTGGACAGACAGACAAACATACTGTTAGCACGGCTATAAAACCCAATCAAAAAGAAGCAATCTAACGTACTGTACCACTGGAATGAGACAATGCAATAGTGAAAATAACTGCTTACTCTGTGAGCATGGTTAAAATGCAATGGAATGGAGCTACAGTACCATACTGCATAAAACAACTCTGTAAAATCACTTTGAATAATATAAATCATAGCCTGGTAACGCTGTGGAGAAAATTCTCATGGAGGGCTTTTAAGACAGAAAGAAAGAAATAATTTTAGGATGTCAGACAATGTGAAAGACAAATTACTTGATAAAGTAAGGACATGTGAAATTCCTTATTCCGAGAGAGGATTTCCGATTAGTCATCCAGAGAGACAAAGAGACAGAGAGAGAGAGAGAGAGAGAGAGAGAGAGAGAGAGAGAGAGAGACAGCGAGTCACTGGGGAACCTACAATACAATGTAGCGTCATGAAGGTCACACATCTCTGGTCGGCCCTGTGGGCGAACATTTTTCATCACTCTCCCTTTATGGCCTGCTTCCTCGAGTTTTGAAAAGCGGTGTTGATTCACGCATAGTTTGAGTTTGTGCTCAGTGTAATATTGTTTACCACTGCTGGATGACATTAAGCGGGCAGGAAGAAAAGGGTTGTACAAACTGTAATTTCAAGAGCTTGTGTGTGTGTGTGTGTGTGTGTGTGTGTGTGTGTGTGAGCACAATTTCCATTTTCAGCTCGTGAAGGTTCATGATCAAAGACATTTTGCTTTTTTTGTAAAGCGTTTTAATTTACACCACATAAAAGGCGCCGTAGAAATATGAAGTAACTGGCAGAAAAGGAAAATTTGTGTTGCATCTGACCGGAAATGTACCAAGGTCCAAGGCTGTTCAGGGTCCGTAAAGTCCATTTTTTGATTTGAATTCTACATATGTAGTGTTCTCCAGTCAGGCTGCACTGCTGGTAATAAACAGGCTGCAGGTTTTAACTGTTTAATCAATGCCAACAGGACAAGAAAGCATAAGAACATTTAACCTAACTCTCTCTGGATTCACATCCGACACCAGTGATCTTTTGTAAGCTTTAAACAAAGCGCTTGTTCAGTTGTCTCACAGTGTCTGTTTTTGTGTATACATGTGACTAATTTAAAAAAGCATCACTTTTACTGCTGGTGTCCACACTATCCCGGAACGTTCGAGCCCCTAAAACGGAGACTCTTACTTTGAAAACTCTGGGGTCACGCTGCAGTCTGGACGGGCAGAAACACCTCGCCTCCTGATTGGGTCTCATCAGTCACCACTAGCGAGGATTACAACATGTACAATGAAATACAAGCGTTGCTGAACCTGTTGTCTTTGCTACCAGCTGTTGTGCAGTTAAATTCTGCAACTAACCGACTACAGAGTAGAAATTCTGCTTCTACACCAGCATGTGCATGCCCAGTGTACATTAATGGTCATTTAATATGCATTTTCACTAATATGTTTTAAAATAAAAACATATTAGCTATTTATATATGTTTTAAAATAAAAACATATTAGCGTGGAATGGACTATGATGTACCACAGTGTGTCATACAACTTAGAATGAAAGTAAAATTCAGAAAAAACAAGATTGTAATTTGTGCAGGAATCACTAAAATTTGTCTGTACAGATATTCTTGTTACAGTAGCTGAACATATCCACAGCAATGGACTGTACTGTCAGATAAATCCTATAAGTGGTCAAGCCATCTAATGCATACATATGCATGCAAATGCATAAGCAGTATATAGGAGCTGTGGGTGCAAGTACATGAATAATGTAACCGCGTTGATCAAGGGCCTTTCTTCACATTACTATGGCAAAAGCAAATTTTGATTTCCTCTGATTTTCATCCAAATTCATTTTGAATTATTTTTCAATGTTTTTCATTTGGCCTCAGATTAACTTTCCAGATAGCATAATGGTGTAAATTGTTCAAGCTGTTAAATCATTTTACACCTACCACCCAAACCTTAACTCAGTGAGTGTGTGTGTCTGAAACTGAGGAGGAGAGAGAGACAGAAGGACGGAGACTTAGAACATGTGTGTGTAGGCAGTGCTTCGTCCGTTCGTGTGTGTGCGTGTGTGTGTGTGTGTGTGTGTGCATGATTTTTATGTAATACTTGGTTGTCTATTCAGTGGCAAGAATTATCTGTCCTCTGCCAGGCTGCCTCCTCCACACTCTCAGCTCCTTGCATATCATATCTTCCTCTTCAGATTGCAATAAGATAAATGTTCTTCACTCTTCCTTCTATATGCTTTAAAGTTTGTCATATGCCCTCTTCCATATGCTTTCGGGTACAAACAAATAAAGGTGCAATTGCACTTCCTGTGTGCTTTTCTATTAGTGTGTATGCAACATTAACTAAATCTAACCAAACATTAAGACAAATGAGAAATACTGTGTTACTGTTGACTACCAAATAGGATGTAAATGTCATTATTTTCATGTTAACCTTATGAGCACCAATTTGCATGTGCACACTGTAGCTTCTGCATTACATAACATCTTTTCATGCACAGATACACAGCAGTGCCCCAGAGGATACTTAAAATGAACATCCTTAACTTTATTCTTTACACTGATGCTTTAATTTCTATGTAATATTCTGCACTCCTTACCATTTATACCTCGCACAATAATCGCCTTTAGTACACACTTACTTTTGGGTATGCAGAAACGTCTGAATGTGAACAATCTGTTATACAGTAAACTGTGAAACATTTTTATTGCCAAAAAAATTACTGTTTTTTTTCATCCCCTCATCATTCTTTTCTTTCATTGAACTTTTCAATTTAATTGTTTTATTTATAAAAACTCGGAACATAGAGAAAACCTTCATCATCATGTTTTGAGAGCTAAATCTCAATATATAACATAAGAGTTTAAAATCCCAAAATATTTCATTTAAAATGACATGTAAAAAAACAAGAAAAAAAAAAAAAAAGTTGAAAATCATCTCATCTCGTCTCAACCAGCAAATGTTTTTGCATTTTCTTCTTGATAGATGATTTTTGTCATTTTCAAAATCATCAAAAAGTAAAGTCAGTTGATTTGTTGTTAATGAACGAGTTCTTTCAGCACTAAATAGAAGTGAATGTTTGTTGAAGGTTTGAGGTTGAATCTCTCTCCAGAAGTCTTAGCCTTCTACCACACCTCTACATCCATCTACCCCCAGCTGCCCCCCCAACATCCACCAATCTGACCCCCCCCACCCCCCCCACGCTTTGCACATTTATGTTTCCATCTCTTCAACCACGATATGACTGAACAGCACTTCTCCACTTCAACAGATGTGCTCGGGTTGTCCTTGAGATTCCCTTTGCAAACAAAGCACTCACCCCACCCCACCCCAACACCACCCCACCCCCTTCGTCTCTTTCTGATTCCACCCCTCTGCCCTCTCCCTCCATCCATCTCGGCAGCTCTCTCTCCCCCCACGATTTCACACCAATGAGCATGCCGCGTGTAGCTCCCACTCGCTGGCATCAGAAACACTAGATATCTTCAGTCCCGAGCTGTACAGATTCATACAAATACACACCAGCATTGGCCAGACAGAGGCTGCATTCTGCCAAACACACGCTGGGGATAGGCAGTCATAAAAAAGAAGGGGACAAAGAGTCCAGCAGCTCTCGCACACACCGGACTCAAGGTAAAGGATCCATATTAATTTATTGGATGACAGAGTATTATGTAATTCGGCTGTGGACACAGAGCTCCGGGCATTATGTGGGTCTTTGTCATTCTTTATGGTTCATGGGGCTGATTATTATCTGCAGCTTTGAATGGAGGATTACTGTTAAATTAGGGAAAGCATTGTTGATGAAGTGATTTGACGTCTGTGTGGCTAATACTGAAAACAGCAATGAAACTATTGCAGGAGAGAAACACAAGAGTGCTCTCCTACTACCTATTATCCAGCTAATTTTATGGGTGTTTTTCATGGGTGTTTGTGTACACTTTGTGCGGCTTCATGTTGAAAGTGATTGCTTATTCATGCATGCTCTCAGTGCCATTTCCTGTGAGCACTACTGAAAATCAGTTCACACCCTCCCACCTTCCCTTCCTTGATGCTGATGGCTCTCAGGGCGTACGGTCCTGTAAATGTCACTCAGAGCTATCAAAGATGGAGTAGGGCTTTGAAGCCCACACAAGTGCCACCTCCAGGTGAGGTGTATCCAAACCCTTCCATAACACTCAGATGCTCCACTTTTGACCCTTCCTACCCCCTCTTGTTCTCTCCTTGTCTGTCACTGACCATGATACTTAAAGGGTCAGTTCACCCCAATTACATAAAACTTTTCTTACTTTTTTTTTTTTTTTTTTATAGTATAGCCATGCAGATACAGATACAGGATGTGGACACCAGAGACCAGGATTCTCATCCTGAATTGTTAAGGTTTGAAAAACATGGCGGTTTTGGTTAAATATTGATTACCCAAAACAAGATGTTTTCCTTCAAGCGTCAAAGTCGTTTAACGGCTGTAGTAATAACGACAGGAGCCAAGGAGGAAGTTAGGTAACGTGATATATAGAGCGACATAGCGTAGGTTGAGGTGGATGGATGGATCAGCGAAACACTGGACTTCCATTGGATCCTGTTTTCAAACCGACAGTCATATTCTTACTTTTAACCATGAACTTTCCATCACCTTGTCCTTATTGTAACCATGACAATGAAGGATCTTATGCAAGTAGTAACCCATGATCTTTCCTTAAACCTAACCAAGTTGTTTTTGTGCCTAAACCTATCCCATAGCATTGTCAAATCATGTCACATTATCAACAATAACATGTTGATAATAACACTTGGCATATCTCCTGTCACCACAGGAAACTCTCCTGTGGGCCGTTTCAGAAGGTAGTGACGAACAACCTTTATGGTCGTCTAGGTTGGTAAACTTGTTGGATGTCCCTAAATGTCAGTATAAAAACTTACCCATGCTCGATTTACTGTTAATATGAGTGTTTGTGAAGGCAAAGAGCAGTTTATTATATGTTTATTACTGCTGCCTTGTTTAGTTCCTAAAAGCATAATCCAGGGACGTCCGACACATAGTGTACAAACTTTAATACCAAGTAATCACAATGTCCATGGTCACAATGTTCAGTTCCAGTGAGGGACCCTTGTTGCATGCTATCTCTACGCTCTGTCCCAGATGTTTCATGCCCATGTCTATGGTTAACTGTCAGGCAAAATGACAAGAAGAGTAACTGAAAACAATCCAGTCAGCATTACATTTGCATAAATGTATTTGCTTGTGCACATAGCTATATGTATGTAATATATATATATATATATATATATATATATATATGTGTATGTAACATATATATATATATATATATGAATGTAATTCTTAGAAGACCTGGTTGGCCCAGGTTTTGAGATATTGCCTACACACAACTACAATGGAGGTAATGGAATTTTGTTAATCTGTGAAATTCCGCTATCAGTTCTGTTTTCATTGGGATGTTTTGTTTGGATAATCCACAGACCAGGCTGTCACCAGTTTTCATAGCATGTAACCAGAACACTGACTCTTAGTACTAAGTACTGTTAGGGTTTTTTTTTGTTTGTTTGTTTGTTTGTTTTTTTAAATGTATAATTTCAATGCTTTGAGCACCACAAAGAAATTTCTGTTCACTGCCTTTGTATTCAGGTGGGAGCAGCTATCTATATCTAAATACCAGAACTATCTGCATGGTAAGATACCACCAGAGGTTTGTGATGATATTCATTTTAAACTGATAAACAAGGTATGTGGTCAATACCAGAGCATACTAATTATGCTATAAACCATTTAAGAGATAATCCGTTCTAGGTCTGCTCTCACGATGTGCAGCAGCATTGTCACCACATGTGGTGATTCAAGCAAGCGCACCACTGTAGCTCAACAGTACAAGTCATTGTGTGCTTGCTGCATGCATATGACAACACACTTGCAAATCCCACTCAAGAGAAATGCTTTTAGTAGACAGAACGACAGGCCCAAGAGTGGAGCCGCTTTCTGCAATGCAAAATAAATCCCTGGAACAAACTGATTACATAAATGGCTAAAGGCGGGATGAGCGATAAGAGACATGCGCTCAGTGTGTAGCACGGAGCAGTTAAAGCTGAAAGGAACACAGAGCTTTGGCATCCTGGCCAACAGGCCCAGATTACTACCAAAAAAAAAAAAAAAAAAAAAAAAAAAAAAAAAACTAGAGTACTGTACACCTACATCACAGGGTTTGTTACAAGAGGTGGTGAGGGTGACTGGTTGAATGTGACATGACAGCCATTTTGCTTTTCTTCAGTCAGCCACAGAAAAGACAGATTACCTCCAAGCTGCCTCCACCTGAGCAGAACTCCATCACAGATATGAAAAAAGAGGTTTGCGTGAACTGGGAATGTTTCTCTTCCAGACTGCGCTGGTGAATCCTTACTGTCCTAAGCCTGGCACTGCCCCAAACAAGAAGTTCAGTAGGTCCATACAAAAGCCCATTCAGTCCAGTCATATCTCATCAACTTTGGATATAGCCTACGGTAGATGACAAGCTCTAATTTTACCACCAAGCAAAATGTTCTCCAGAAGCAAATGCAAGTCAGTGGCGTGCCCTTATCATCCTGAGCACCCCTGGCACGCTTGTGCTTTTAATAGTCCAGTCCAGCCAGTGACAGGCAGATTTACTTGAGTGTAATCTGACATAGCTGTGAGTCAAATACTTGGCCAAAAGATTGGGAAGCCTTGTTTGCCCTCCCTTTACGCCTGAGCTGAGTGAGAGTGATAAGGGCTTCAAGCACAGTAAGTTTTGACATTTTGTCTGAGGTGAAAAACGAAGATGCATTAGAGTTTTCTTTACACAGAATATAAAGATTTCAAGAGGCATGCTTTATTGTGACAGCAGCTGTGAAAAGCTGATCGGGTTTCTAAACATACTGTGCTGAATGAAAGTTGATTGTTTTGCCATTGATTGTGGTTGATTTTAGTTAATTAACTCTCTTGAAAGTTGCTGCTGCTCCAATCAGTGTGTTTAATGTGAAAGATGTTGCTCATAGTGACAAACCCACAGAGAATTATCACCTGACTCAGTAGTCAACCTCAGCTCTATGGAGTGATTTATTGTTTTCCAGCTCATTGTTTTGGTCTGACAGTACATTTACTGCATCACTGTTCCCAGGTTAGCAAGGCTATGTGTTTAACTTAGCTGCATGGTTCCTAAGAAGCTAGCGCTAAAGACATAATCTACCTCATCAGGCAATTCATTTGTATTTACAGATTTTAAAAGATTTAAAGGGAGTGTAAAATATTTATACTCACCCTCCTGCGGCATTAGGAAAAATACAATTCCCTCCCCATCATTAGCAAAATCTCATCTAGTCTTCATTAGCAGAAAGAAGCTATTTCTTTATCAACAACCATTAATTAATAATGCATCCCAAGTTGCTTTTAAAAGCCTTTTCCCACTGTAACTGCACCATATGCACCTAAGAACAGTCTCAGTCCCAGAAAACTACATTTCCCCATTTTATACATGATCCACCTACATGATCTAAAACAATCATGTAGCCTAAATGTCAGTTTTAGCTTTCAAATAAATTCAGGTATTATTTGCATTCTTTGTGTTCCCTATAACCAGTGCTGATATTTTCAGGTGTGGTTTTCATTCTATCTGATATTATCATAAAAAAAAACATCCCTGTAAAGTAAAGCGGACTAGTGACCTGCACAGGATGTACCTTGGCTTTCACCCGATGCATGCTGGGACATGCTCAAACACCCACTGAGCGTAAATAGGTGAAGAGAAAATGAATGTAAAAGGTGGAAAGATAGATGACTGTGGATTAAAAAAAAAGCGTTTATTGTATATTTTTACAGATACTTCCCTTTTCTCTTTTTGCCTGTTGCTACATGTCATATATTATTTTCTCTAATAGACTACTTTAATGTCACCTAAATCCAAATTATACTAATTTAACAAGCACCTTTTTATTGCGTATACAACGTGTGAGTGTTTTATAGTATATAAGTTTATAGTCTGTAACAACTCTGGAACAAAAAAAATGGCAACAGCTGAGCGCCTGCTGGCAGGAGAGTAGCATAAATCCAAATGAACACGAGCGTACATCAGTGAAAAGGGGATAAAAATGTCAACATTCAGCTGCCAAACAAGTTACAATGACAAATAATATGCCGTGTCCCTGTAAGGCCTGCGCAGTGCATTTCTATTCTTTTGGAGATTAAATATTAAGATGCTGGAGCTTGTGAACTGGACACACAGATTAAGTTGATACAAAATAAATAGATAGATGAGAGCCTGCGTGGTGGGGGAGTGACATTAATCCAACCGTACATGAGTGTACCTTTTCTGAGTAGAAAGTAGATGAAAATAGTATCCAGGGCGTTATGTGCTGAAAAGCCCCTGGGAAGCTTTATCCCAGGCTGACCTATCAGACTGTTGAAGTGAGCGTTGAGCTCAGGTGTCGGCACAGGAGGCCTCAGAGGAGTGAGGGACAGCGGAGTGGAACATGATTCATAGTAAAGAACATGATTCACTAGACAGAAGTTTTATGAGTTGTTTTCTAATAATCTGTCCCCATGGTGGGCACTGTGTATGGTGGTGGACATAACGGTTTTATGCATGACAAGAGTTTATTAATCTTAGATT